TGCTAATGCTAGCAGGTTGACTCAGTGCTTTGCACAAGCATTTATACACATTTACCGTTTCATCTCAATGTATTTTATTTGATTTTTTTATGTGGTTGACCAAATTAAGGTAGTGCAAAACTGTGATTGACACAGCAAACATGTGGAAGAGGTCAGATTAATAGAAAAAGTGCTATGAGAGAAAACAACTTTCAACATCAGCAGCATCAAATGTTCTAAATAAAATGTTTGGAAGATAAACTATTACACTGCAAAACATTTGAAAGTGGTTTAACTTGAAAGTCCACCTGCTGCCTTGAAAATGCAACAAAAAACTGTTTTGGTTTTAACTCAGAAATTAAAGTTCATGAAGTTGATTTAACAACAAGAGACAAGTTGTCTAAACATTGTTTTTTTTAAGTTCATTAATCTTGAACTGAGTTTTAATTTAATGCTGCAATTTAAACCGAATAATTTCACAATATGCAAAAAAAAAAAAAAATAAATAAAAAAACCTCCCGACTTAGTTAGAGCAAATATTTCTCTGTTATTTCACTCACACTATTAAGATAAAATAATTATTTTACTTTGGAATACTTTAAATTCTTATTTCAAATCAAATGAACAAAATTTCTGATCTGAATTTTATTAAACATCACAATGGACATTAAAATGAATATTTGCCTTAACACAAGAGTCAGATCAATGCAACTCAATTCCATCTCAGGATACAAAAACCCGCCACTAAGCATTCTGGGAAATAGTTCCCTCTCCTGTCTTTTCTTCTTTCAGTATTTTTAAGTGCTAACCTAAACTCTCATTTATTCAACTCTTGGAGGTTTGACAAAATTAACTACTGTAAGTTTATCTTTCACAAACTTTCACACATTTATGTTTAAAATCTAAAACTCGCTGAATTTATTTGACTTAAAGAATAGCAGACAGTAGACAAATAAATGTGGCTCAAATGTTTTACAGTGTACTGCAATAGATTTGTGACTAACGTAGAGATTTACTTTCCTGCAGGTCAACGACCTTTGAAAATACAACCTGAGAAATAGTGGATCAAAGCATAATTAATGTGTTACAGTGGTCTAGTTAAAGTCGAGACCCAAATTCAACTTAAAAACTGTGGGTGGTCTCCATCCATTCCTACTGATTTGAAACCATTTTGCCAAAAGAGTGGGTAAGTTTGTGCTCCATGACAAAGAGCAGAGCAGTTTAACTCGGTTACGGCTCTGTTCATCATTAGGACGTAACAACCTGAGTGCAGCTCATTCTCCTGATCTCTCAGAAGCATCCCGGTTCTGTTTGTGTTCTGAACGAACGACCTCTTCCCAGTTTGGCCGGGGCCCTTGGCAGCAATCAGCGATGTCTGACGCCTGCTGGGATCACTGGGGGCGACGGCAACCAGAGCTCATGAATTTCTAATGCAGCCTTTCTCTCTCCCTGAGTGGCTTTGTGGAGTTCCTTCAGTACCAGAAACACACCGCTGCGCGTGTTGCCGAGTGGCCGAGTGCCTCCCTCTTTAGTGCTGATTTTATCCGCATGGCCTGCCAACGACGGCGGCCTCCTGCAGACGTACAGGAAGTGGTAACATTGCCCAGTGTGCGCAGGCAGGGTTGGGGGTGAGGCTCCGCCACTTTATGTTTTGCCTCACGCTATTAGGGGAGAATAGTTTTTCCCCAAATAACTGCTCTCTAACCCAACTGGTTGCCATGGAGACAGGGTCATGCACCAAGTGTAAACATGGGGTGGGATTTTTGAAGAAGTTATTATGCAAAATTCGCATTTTGCACGTTTTTGTACTTCCATTTGGGTTTCTACTGCTACCAGAAACAACCCAAATGCTTAAAAAAAGAAAACACCTGGCCGTCTTTTGGCAATAATTAAATAGGCGCCCATAACTCCTGTTCTCACCACTCTGCACTGGGTTCCTTTGAAGGTTAATTTTAAAAATTAGATTTTAACTTTGAAGGCCATCCATGGCCAAGTTCCTATATACATTCATCTTTTAGCTTCATCTGGAACCATGATGTCTTTGAGTCAAATGGGGACAGACTTCTTTAAGAAACAACTAAAGACATTTTTATTTGGACAGGGTTTTTTTATAATTTGTTTTTATTTTTGTTTGAATTGTCCTATGAAGCACTTTGTGATCTATATGTCTGTGAAAGGTGCTATATGAATACAATTTTACTTATTTAAGCTTTTTGGTATCTGGAAAATGAGCCATTTCAAAAACCTTCCTCATTCAATGGCCACTGAACATTACCTAGAACTCCAGCACTTTTGGTCAGCAGGTTTTACCGACGTATGTGCTTCACAATGGCATATGCGTTTTGTTATTGACTTACCATTCAGAAACCCCTTACTGCATTCTTGTTGGTTGTGCAGGAGGCTCTACTAATGCTTTTCAAAGATGTATGGCTGTATAATTGTGTATCTGTTTGCAGCCATTTTCATCTGCGAGTTCAAACGTTGAATTGGGGGAGCTCCCAATGGGCAAAATTGACTAAAATCTCATTATCTAAGAATGATTTTGTGCCAAAATCTATCTATCTATCCTAACATGTTTAAGTAAACAGTCTTTAAATAAACAGTTGGATCTGTGACTCCTTTGGTATGTATCTCGTTGTCAATAATTTTCTGAATCGAGTTTTGTCTCAAGAAGGGCCTGCTTTGTCATTTTGCCTGTGCATGCTCCGTGCCATCCGGCGTCAGGCTTCATGCCTGCATGTATTATTCAGCAGCTATCCCGTTGCAGGCTGCTTAAGGGGTTGGCATGAATGGAATCTGACAAGAGAGACTGTCAGGTGGGACAGGATCTCCGCAACGCTGCAATTAGGTGATGGGTGGCAAGTGAGCTGTCTGGATCACCTGCACACACTTTAAAGCCTTCACAGCTCGCTCTGTTGATCTGATTTAGTTACTTTAGATGAAAAACTTTAGGGAGAGATTCACTTCTTTACTTGCACCTCCTCGTAAATAGCCCTACTGTCTCCAGCTCCGAGTTATTTCAGTTATCTGTGTTAGTGGGTGTGTGGAAGTGTGTGTCACAGCCACTTTCTCCAAGACATTTCCTTTCCCCCCCGCTGAGCCTGGCCCCGAGCCTGTCACATCCTTGAGCTGAAGCTGTCTAATAACCATCATCAAGACAATGATACAATTATAACTCAAACTTCTCTGTGACTCAGAGTGTCCAATTAGGTGACGCTTTTGGTGCGGATTCTAGCTCAGTATGAGAAGGATGAGTGGGATTAAACTGAATTAGTATCCATTCATATCCATTTAGACTTAAAATTAAGTGCTTTCTTCTTCTTGTCTGTGAGAATACCTTCTCAAAGTTTTTCTGTGAAACTTTTAATGGGTTTTCTAGAAAAAGCAAATGTATTTATTCTACATCAGATGTGAAGGAAGTGAATACAGAGCTAAGTTGGACAAGACATTGCTGAAACTGCAAGAGTACAGTGTCTTTTCACAGAATGTTTATTTGTTCTTGGAGAAAATTGATTATTTAACAAGCATGGAGTGTTAAATGCATTCACAGATTTATTAGGTTAGTCTCTTTTGGAGCTCAAACCTCAAGCAGAGCGTAGAAAAACACAGAATGAGTTGTGAAGTTTTTAGTTTGGGCAATCTAAAAACTGTGTTTTCACGGTAACTACACTGAGAAAAGGAAATAGACATCCAACTTTAAAAAAATGAGTTAATTTGTTACATGTTACATTATGACAGCTTTGGGAAGAGTTGGAGGAACTTGAGCTGATAAACGGTCACGACATACCAACAGTTTTGTATAAAACACTTTCTTTTTAAAAGTTATATACTGGAACTTTTACCAAAACATTTGGTAAAAACAGAAAAATCCAGATGTTAAGACTAAAGATTTGTTTCCAGCTTGTTTTTTATCTTGTTTACTTTATGCATACGTAACGTTTCAGCAGCTTGTTTTATGTCAGTGAATCTTGAATATTGATGAAAAGCACTAGTTTCATAAGTAGATATCATTTATAAAAAGGTATTTCCCTCATGTTATTATTGAAAAAAATCTGCTAGTGGAACTAATACTTTTTAAAATCAATAATAAGCTCCTATATTTTGCTGAAAATATAGGAGTTAGTTTTGGCTCAATTAAAGTGAAATAAAATTATTTGCACTAGAAAATATTTGCTAAGATTTTGTATTTCTGCACAGAATCTTAGCAAAAACAGATTTTTTTGCTAAGAAATATCAGCTCCACTCGTATGCAAAGCTAAAGATAAAATGGAAAAGTGTCTAAGAAAAAAATGTTAACCCTATCAATCCTAAATATGTCCAATATAAGTTAGAATCCATCATTTCGAAGGTGATTTTCTGTCTTTTTACCCTGACGACATCACTAAATTGGCTCGGCTATGACCTTCCTTTTTCTTTTTTGTGCTTAACTACATATATGTGGAGTAATTTGATTAAAGTGCATCCTATTGTGTTCAAGGGTCTCCTGCTGTGTGGGGCATATTCTCATGTTTCATACATGAGCTCATTAACGGTGCTCAGATTGCCCTCGTCTCCGAACCGAACACCGTTCTGCGTCCTCCACCTGCCTCCTCGGGCTCGGCTCTCCTCTGGCAGGAGGGCACAGGAAACGGCAGCATAAGCTACCCATCCATCCATCCATCCGTCTTGTGCCCTGCAGAAAATCTGGCAGGCTGAAAGGAGCGGCACCATGATGAAACACTGAGTCTTCCTCAGGCTGCCTGAAATTTGATTCCCTCCTCAGATGTGTGCTAGCGTAGCGAGAGGAGAACCAGCTGGTTCTTTGTACTGTTGCAGTTTCTCTGCACAATGCCGTTGCCAAGTGTGATGATGACTACCTTTCCTGAAAAGGCCCATATAACACAGCTAATGACAAGTGGGTTTTAATAGTATTAGCGCCGTGATTTGTTGCTAGGATACCACATCTCTGCCAATAAAAGCTGGTGAATGAAAGTGAAAGTAACAATATGCGTTTTCCTTTTTGTGCCTTTGTCTCCACGCAGAAAGCCGGCTGAAAGAGAACGCCACCAAGTATGTGGAGCTGCTGGAGGACAGGCTGCAGAGGTATGGCTGCTCTTTTTCTCCGTGTTCCTCAAGTGAAAGACATAAACAGAGCAGAACCCTCAGAGGAATTTCCTCTCACCTCTGCCGTCCTCTAACCAGATCGCCGTCTCCTCAATGCATCACCTCACAGTCAGCTCCGTGCAGTCACACCTTGTTGTTTCCCAGAGCCGCTTTCTCACATTTCACTCCGTCTCTCACCTGCACTTTGTCTTCATCTTCTCACCCTCTGATGTATTTTATGTCTTTACTTTCATTTCTATCTCCCCCCCACATTCTTCTCTTCCAAAGAAACTTCCAAAGTGGATCCTCCTGTTGTGTTTGCTCACACAGGTAGCAAATTTGACATACAGAGTCATTAAATTCAACACCTGCCTTACGTTTTGCACCAAACTAAAACCGCTTTGGCTGTTGCAGAACAATTTATACCAAACTGATAGAAAAGGACCCGAGTTATTTTCCAAACAGGACCAAACTGGAGCCAATCTTTAATCAAATATCCTGTTTTTCTTCTTGGCATTTCGTGTTTCCCTGTGTGCATTCTTTAACAGACAGAGTTATCTCTGGAGGAGTTTGTGCCAGACAGAAATGAGTCACTTTATGTCAACATAGCTTGTTGTGTTCCTACCCTTTTTTTATTTTTTTGCATTAAAAGTGCAAATAATATTATTAACGCTGAATCTAAAATACGTCCCAGAATAAAAATTCATTTTTAGATCTCGAATGTTTTTAAGAGCCAGTTATATGAGTATGTGTTGATAAAACCCATTAAAAAAACTGTTAAAATATCAATAGCTTTGATAAGTACTCCTTAGAATTAAATATATTGAACATCTTTTCAAGCTGCAGGACTCGTCATTGTTTTTGTGATTTTTGTGCAGCCACTAGAAATATTTGCAAAGAATTTTTAAATATTTGTGCTTACATACAACACTGTATCGATTACAACTTGACATCAAGTAAGACTGAGGAAACGGTGTAAATAGTGCCGCCTGCAGGTGGGAGTTACTACCAAATGCTTCTCACCATTTTGGGGAAAATTTTTTCAATAAACTCTCAATAATGCATTAGTGTGAAAAACTGCAGGGGTCTATAAATTTCCACAATCACAAAATTGTGAAAAACTGTGTTGACGTAATTTGGTGTCTGGAGTTTAGAGGGCCACATGAAAAGCCACAGCGGGCCGGATTTGGCCCTCAGGCCTCGAGTTTGACACATGGACTAAAGTGTTTCAGTTTAGGTTTTCTTTTATTAACCCTATAAATATCCTATTTCTATCTAATGTGTGACATATTCGCCTTTTTTTTTTTACATCTTTAACCAATTGACTGGCTTAACCAACCTGGAATCTTTGCATCTAATCTCAGGAGATTTTATTGAAAGATTGAAAAATGTAAAAAATGTGACTTTCTTACACAGATTCAGTAACTAATGCCAGTAACCAAATAATTGATTGTATAAGATTCTATTTTGACTGATTTAAACCCAAATTTATTATACAAAATAACTAAAACTGTAATTCAGAAAACATTTTTAATAGAAATAATTAAAAACTGTAATTAAGTTGAGAGTTCAAAGAGATTAAAACAGCCTCTCGTTACCTGGTTAAAGTCTTGCTCTCGCTCACTTTCTCACAGCCTGTACAGATCTCAGATGTGTCAGAAAATACAATTAAAATAAAAATAGTTCCTGACAGCTATTCTGATTCTCTTTACTTTGATTAGACACCTCACTGATATTTAAAACAGTGAATTCAGAGTCTTAACTAACAACCTTTACAAAATGTCAAAAAACACAAAATCATTTTGGCAAATGTCAAGTGCAAATATCTTAATACTTCGATTAAGACAAAATTAATTTACAAGCAACTTTTCAGCAAGATATAGCAGCTTGTTTTAAGTAAATAATCTCTTTAGTGAACAATTCACCAAATTTATATTTTTAAGTCACAGCAACGAGTTAAAGAACTTAATAATCGTCCTTCATCACACTCACAAATGAGTTCAGTTTCTCAAAATGATTGAACAAGAATAGAAGTCTTGCTCTCTCTTGCTTTCTTGCAGCCTGATTGAATCTAATCAGAAATGTTTACCTTTTCAAAAGGCTCTGTCAGCAGAAACACATATTACTCTTGGTAAAATACACCACATGCAGATGCAAAGATCACCTCTCAGTCACTGTAAATATTCTAGACAGTGGTGAAGAGGTAGATTAGTGTCTGGTCTCTACGGCGACGGATTCCTCTGAAAAAATAAAAACTGTTATCTCCTCCATACCAAAGACTAGAGAATAATAGAGCAGTGCAGAAGCTGCTAAGTGTGTCACCAGACAAAAATTAATTTAATTCAAATTAGCTGCACCTCGGAGTTGTTTAAAGCATTATGTAGATGCTTCATTAGTAACTGCTTCTTGTGTTTGTCCTACTTTTTCACGCTCCTTCCTCTGCAGAGACTCGGCTGCTATTTATCATGTATGATAGATGCAAACCAGCTGGGTGTGGAAGTCATTAAAATGCTCAGCCATGTTCTCCTCGCAGTAGTTGCAGACACACAGTTTGCATGTAAGCAAAAAAAAGGAAAAATGAGCAAAATCACAACATAAATTTAGGAAACCTTGAATGGACGTGTATGGTTAAAAAAAAAAAAAAAAAGATTTCAGCATTTTTCAAACCTAAAATCCTGCTTTCACTAAATTTCTGACCATTAAAAAGGGTTAAAACCCAAGTTTCAAATCTCAGCCTTGATATTTTTGCTTATTTTAATTGTATGCAGTTCTTTAAATGTTCTGTGAATAAATGTATATTTGCCCATTTATGCATAACAGCCGTAACTTTCAATGGCTACCAAGTTATTTTCGCAATTTACCGTCTATTAAAAGAGCGCCCCTCAGATTAATTTCACTCCCTGCTACAGCAGGGAGTGAAATTACCGTAATAACCTGATATTGGCTGGAAAGTGCAACGTCTCGCCTTTCAGAAACTGTTGTAATTTTTTGAGGAATTACGAGGAATTTGGCTGGAATGTCGCCGATCCGTTCAGTCTGGAAGGGTGAACTAGTGTAAAACTCTTTTCTTCAGTTTTTGCTGTTCATAAATGCCACTTGAATTTGTCAATATTCAAATAATGTCAGTAATATGTCAAATTCACTAGCTGACTTATTATTTGAATACATGCTATTAATACTTTGTTGGAACGACTTTAATAAGACAACCATTAGCTTGTTGTCTCTTTAGAAGGTTGGAAAATGCAGAAAATTATGGATTTTGTATCTGGTGAGTTATTTCTGTTTTGATTTGGTCAAATGTTTTGGGTCATTAAACCAGTAAAGATCCTAATTTCATTGAATTTTGGTATAAAATCTTTTAATATTTAAAAAATTTCACTAAGCCATGCATTCAGTCTATGTTCCCAAAGCCTTTTGGAGAGCAAAAGGCCCTCAGCATCACACATCCTTTACTGTACTTCACATTACATAGGCAGTGTTTTATTTCCATCTGGTTTTCTGGAAAACAACATGATCCTCTCTGTGGCTTATAGCATGATAAATAAATGTCCTAGTCCAACTTTGTTTGATAAACAATCTACTCTCTAACTTCAAAATCTTTTGTTACATTTTTGTTACATTCAGGTAATTGTTGGGAGTGCCTGTATTCTGAAACGATTCCGGTTAATAGTTGGATGTTGCGAATACTTTCAGTGTAGCAATATATTGATAGAAAAAGAGATAAATGTAAGTTTCAGGCCTTTTTACACATCATCCCATTGTAATGCTAATAAACGTGGCCCCCATTGCTCTTTTCCCGTCTGTCACTCCTACCTTTAGAGACCCTCTCTTTTATTTCACAGTGTTATCAACACCTTTTTCACAGCTGGTTGTGTTGGAAATTACAACACTAAGATGAAACACTAACATCCATTTCTAAAGTGTGAATACCGACTGCAGTTTGTTAGATTGTCTTCGCTCATGTCTGATTTTTCCAGCAGCTGGATTGAATTTTGATCATCGTGGAGGCATTTGGAAAACAGTTTCATTTAAGTTTATTGTGCATTATTTTTTGAGTAGATGTCAAAATATTGGTACACTGACTAAAAAATCTGTGCATTTTTGAATCTGTATTTTCCAGTTAAAGATTAATCGATTACTAAATAAGTTACTGATTATTTCTGTAATCAATAAATCAGGATTAATCTGATTCAATCCTAGTTTGGATATACAGCTCTAGAACACAAAAGAAGAGATCAGTTTCTCTGATTGTCCTCTCTATAGGTGTATGTTTGAGTAAAATGAACATTGTTCTTTTATTCTATGTACTACTGATAACATGCCTCCAGAAATCCAAGCAAAAATTTAATATTTATTTACAGAAAATGACGAAAAAGATGCAGTGCTTCAGACCTCAAATGATGCAAAGAAAACAACATTTCAAAACAAAAATGCTAATGTTTTGACTCAGAAATCAGCATTTATTGGAATAGCCAGGAGGTTTTCAGTGGGGTTCAGTGCAGTGGACTGTGGATGTAGATTTTCCATCACCTGTTTAGTTTTTAACTCTCAGGGGGAATTGTGTTTGCTTTACATTATTTTCCACCCAAAAGCCAAACACTGAGCACAAACTTTGTGCGATTCTTTAATGCACCTTTTTTCACGCCCCAGCCAAACCTGCTTGCACAAGCAGGACGAAACCAGAGCCTCTTTGCTCAGCAGTTAGCCCTCGGTATATTTATAGCGCTCCCTCGGCGGCTCTCTGAGCTCAGACGTAACGTCCTCAAGGAGAAAGAGCAGTCCTGTCAGTCTGCGCTCCCTCAGGACAGCTGGGTGTTTCTCCTTCCTGACTGGGCCGTCAGAGGCGCAGCACGCCCACACCCTGCCACTGTCAGATGGAAGACCGAGCGGCTGCCACCAATTAACCCCCTGAGTGGGAAGTTCATAGCGTCGGGCACCGGGACGCCATCACAACAAGGAGGCTTAGGCACTGATGGGTTTATGTGAGCTTTGATGCCGGC